ATGCCAAAAAAGCAGTATGCAGATGAAAATATCCTTTGAATCTCCAAGGTGGTTTGGGCAGGATATTTTGAAATGTGAACAGGAAGGGGAAGAGATTGTTTTAAGTAGTTTCAGAAGGAAAGTGATCAGGGAACAAAGTAACTAAGAAAAGAGGGATAGAAGAAAGATGTCAAATAGGATTTTCAATGCAAAAAGAAATGCTTGAGAATTGTATGTTATTTCTATAAATGCAAAACAGCAGAAACTTTGTACTTTTGCAGTGAGAGTTGCAGTCAACCATGCCAGTTACACTAATGGAAGAAGAGAACTGCCCACTAAATGGATAGTATTAACAGATTTTCAAATCTTTTTATGAACTGTCTTCCAGTACTGTCAAATATAACATTTTGTAACTCTTTCTAGCTGCTTCGGGAGATGTTCAGACCTACCAAATTCGCACAGCACCCACAAGCACCATTGCACCTGGTGTCGTCATGGCATCTTCCCCAGCTCTTCCCACTCAACCAGCAGAAGAAGCAGCACGAAAAAGAGAAGTCCGTCTAATGAAGAACAGGTTTGTATACTATTCATTAACAGCCAAAAATATTTTTACAGGTAGTCCTTGACCTAGAACAGGGGTAGGCAACCTTGGCTCTTTTATGACTCGTGGACTTCAACTACCAGAATTCCTAAGCCAGCCATGCTGGCTCAGGAATTCTGGGAGTTGAAGTCCACGAGTGATAAAAGAGCCAAGGTTGCCTACCCCTGACCTAGAACAATTGAGCCCCAAAGAGAGTTTATGACCTTTCTGTCACAGTTGTTAAGTTAATACCATGGTTGATTTTCCTTGTTAGAAGGTTGCAAAAGGTGATCACGTGACCCCAGAACACTGCCACTGTCATAAATATGAACTAGTTGCTAAACTTCTGAATTTTGATCAAGTGATAATGGGGATGCTGCAACAGTTGTAAGTATGAAAAACAGACAAAAATCGCTTTTTTCAGTGTTGTTGTAACTTCAAACAGTCACTAAATGAATGGTTGTAAGTCAAGGACTACCTGTATTTGAAAAGCAGACCAACAACTTTCTTTACTCCCATTCTAAAGAAAATTTTACCATATAAGATGGAATTGACGGTACCAAAAACAATTAGCTTTATCTGAAAAACTTGTATAACTGGGAAGAAGATCTGAAATCCCCTTGTTGCGTTGCAGTGGTTAATAGAATCAGAAAGTGCAGGACAAGTATTTTTTCCTTGGTCATAGCCCAGAATTAATCTTGCTAACAGTCAAAAACATATCATTTGCAAAGCAACTTTGCAATATCAACTAGAAATAAATCATTTCAAGCAAGACAGCAGAATGATACTTTTTCAGTCAACTTATAAATGATTTGATAAGTCCAATTATGGTTTATCAAAGAAAATATTTGTTGGCTCCCCATGCAAATATATCAACCAAAACCATAGATGATTCTTTTAATATTTGTTCAGTGCAAAGTTGCATAGTCAGTGTGCAACATATAGCTCCTTAGATGTTCTACTCATACATGGCTCCTGTTCTTTGAAAACTAATGTAGTCCTTAATTATGCATCCTCACTTTAGTTTATGAAGGAATTCGTATTTTTATTGTTGTTTGGAATATGCTATAAGAAACAAACAATTGGGCTTTTCTGCGGCAGGTTCTTATAAACAAGCAGAGTTAAACAAGCAGAGTTGGAGAATTTTAATTTGTTAGATAAACCCTCTTGCTGGGGAAAAAAAAAAGCAATCACAGCATGTGACAGCACTTCGTTAGTTGATCATTAAGCCATGACTTACCTTGTTTTATTATGCAGCTGGCTCAATAAATGATTCAATACCTCAAAAGAGCCCTTAGGCTAAGCAGTAGTGACTTACTAGCAGGAGAGAAGAAAAACAGCCATTCTTAATTAATACTACTTTTACATCAACATTACTTAGTTCTTAGGTTCCTTTGAAAGATAAAAATATATATGAGATGTAAAATATTAAAAAAAATAGCTGAACAGTGATGAAAACTGTCATGCAGTAATGTTTTATTTTATTCCTCAGACCAACTGATTTATAATTTTTGAAGCATTTCTGAAACAGTAACCTTATGAGCATTTGGTTTAGAAAACTCTCAGACTTACTATTAGATAAAAATACAGAAAATAAACAACCTATTGCAGGAGAAAAATGAGTGGATTAATTTTTTCCTTTTAATGCAGGGGTATCAAACTGCCGGCCCACTGACCGGATGTGTCACACAGAAGCCCCACCCACCCCAGCTCTGGCAAGGGGGGAAAAGTCACGATACATCGCGACATGTCACGTGACACGGCGAGTTTGACACCCCTGTTTTAATATAAATGAGACTGGAGTTTTAATCTTATTAGAGGATAAAACCATTGAACATAGTGAAATTTATATCTGAATTAATATGCAAGGGATTGAGTTCTTAAGTATTCACTGCAGAATATCTTAATATAAATGAGTTTTAAATGGTTAAAACTCTTATTAATCTTTACCATAATATGGGATTAAAATACAGTAGAACAATGACTTGGAAGATCTGGTTACTCTCCTCAAACTGGCTCTTTTAGTAGTCATCTGCATGCACAACTGTTCTGTACAGGTAATCCTCAACTTACAACAGTTCATTTAGTGACCATTTGAAGTTACAACGTCATTGAAAAAAGTGATTTATGACCATTTTTCACACTTAAGATCATTGCAGCATCCTCATGGTCTCATGACCAATATTTGGATGCTTGGCAATTGGTTCATATTTATGATGCTTGCAGAGTCTCTTATCATGTGAATAACTTTTGCAACCTTCTGACAAACAAAGTCAATGGGGAAACCAGGTTCACTTAACAATTCGGTTATTAATTAAACAACTGCAACAATTCACTTAACAACCGTGGCAAGAAAAGTCGTAAAATGGGGTAAAACTCACTTAACAAATGTCTCACTTAGCAACAAAAAATTTGGGCTCAATTATGGTCTACCTGTGCAGTGCAACTAATACAACTAAGCAGGAGGGGAAACATTGTCTTGTCTTCTGATCCTTCCAGTATTAATTTGAGCACTGATGTTTGTCCACACTGTAACCATATGTCCTATATTATTCATAATTCCTGCCATTGGCACATGATTCCATGTATTTCTAATCAATACCTGAGCCTCAGTTCTGTATTACAGAATAAAATCAGAATTTTTTTTATCTAGAGATTAAAAAAAAAATCTAAAAGGCTTGGTCCTCTAATATTTCCCAAATCTTTTTTATTTGCAATATTATGATGAGGCACAGCAAAGAAATGCTAATAAACATTAGTCCTTGCACTCACTTATTTGGTGTTTATACATGACTTGCATAGAGAAGTTTCCTCCTGAACTTTATTGGCCTGAACACCTTAATAGGAGCATCTGTTTTCAAGAAAGTTGATTTCTAGGACAACCACTTACAAAAAGAAGGCAGTCATTAACTCTTAAAAATCTATACAAGTTTAGCATGGGATATCCAATAGCAGAGACTTGATCCATCTCAGTATATTAAAAAGAAATGAAGTATACCTTTAAAGGACCAGGTTGGAGGCAGATTTTCCTGGAGACCTCTATAGAACTTAGAGCTGGAAGGGACCTCAAGAGTCAGGAGACCTTATACCAGCCCAGTCAAATGGTTGTCCAGTCCATTTTTTAAAACTTCCAGTGATGGAACACCCAAAACTCCAGGAGGCAAGCTGTTCCATTGACTAATTGTTCTCACTGTTAGGAAAGTTCTCCTTACTTCTAGCTTCGATTTGTTTTTAACAAGCTTCCATCCATTATTTCTTGCCTTGCCATCTGGGGCTTTGGAGAATAAGTCAATCCCCTCTGCTCTGTGACAGCCCCTCAAGTACTGGAAGATGGTAATCATGTCCCCCCTAATCCTTTTCTTCAATAGGTTAGAAAACCTAGCTTCCTTCAACCAATCATCATACAATTTAGCCTCCAGACCCTTTATCATTTTTGTTGCTCTTCTTTGCTCACTTTCTAAGGTTTCAGCACTTTTTTGTATCCTGATGACTAAAAATGTATGCAGTATTCCAATTGTAGCCTCACTAGAGCAGTAGTAAAGCATTATTATCACTTCTCATGATCTTGATGTTATCCCTCTGTTGATGCAGTCCACGAGGACTGCATGGGCTTATTTGGCAGCTGCACCACATTGCTGGCTCATACTTAAGTGGTGGTCCATTAGGCCACCTAGATCTACTGATGATGCTACCTAGTTTGAGCAATGAAATGTGCAAGAAAACAACCAAGCGCAGAGAACATCAAGGACCCCTCATTTTACCCCTAGGCTACAAATATTTCCCCTATTGGTACACCTTGATCTCTCAGTTACTACTGTTGAGCCAGGTACCACCTATTTTGTACCTCTGCATTAGTACAGGACCTTACTTTTCTCGCCATTGAACTGCATCTTGTTATATAAGTGATCTGTCAAGATCCATCAGGATCTTGAGCCTATGTTCCAAAGTGTTAGCAATTCCCCCCAGCTTGGTGTCATCTGCAAATGTGATGAGTTCCCCTTCTATCCCCTCATAGATCATTCATGAAGATGTTGAAAAGTACTGGGCCCAAGACAGAACCTTGAGGTACCCTACTGCATGCTTCACTCTATGTAGATGTAGTTCCATTAAGGACTACGTGCTGGGGACAGTTGGTCAGCCTATTGCAAATCCATTTGGTGGTGGATTCCCACATTTTTTTATCTTACCAAGAAGCAGACTGTGATCTTGGTTGTCAAATTCCTTACTGAAGTCCAAGTATACTATGTCCACAGCATTTCTCTGATCCATTAATTTAGTTATTTTATCAAAGAAGGAGGATATATGGTTTGTCTGGCATGATCTATTTTTAACAAACCCATACTGGCTTCTAGTACTGTAATCACCTTGTTCATTTCTAGCTGTTCACAACTTCTCCACTTGATTATCTTTTCAAGGATTTTCCCTGGAAAGTTACAATATCATATAAGGATCATATACTAGGATTTCAAGCTCTCTCTGTTCCCTATACTATGAGCATTGGTATATTGGCATTTGAACTCTTTATGGTTGACCTTAGTTTTGTTTCCTGCGTATCCTGATTTGTACTTGTGTGCCTCTTCTTCACCACTTCCTTTCTCTCTGTCTAATTTGTTGTGTTGGCCTATATGCTTTGGGTGTAGCCCTACAGGTTTGTCTCCTTCCTCCTCCAGTTTTAGTTTAAAGCCCTTTAGTTTAAAGCCCTTCACTTGCTTCCCAAACACATTCTTGCCAAATTTCGTCTATCTCTTGCTAGAAGCCTTTCCTGTAGGTAGTGTATCCATGATCCAGAAAGTCAAAAGTTCTCACCATGGCACCATTCTTTGAGCCAGCGGTTTACTTCTAAAACATCTGTTCTCTCATTGGTCATTGACTTATCATTGGGAGTGCTGATGAGAAAGCAATCTGAGCACCCAGGTCCTTTGCTTTTTTGCCTAGTTGCTCTTTTGATATTGATTTCAGGCTCTTAGTTGTATTATTCATCCTAACATGAAAGAGGAGAAAGGAATAATAATTGGTGGGCTGGATTATTTTAGTGAACCTATGTGACACATTTTTAGTCTGCACCTGGGAGACAGCATACTTCCTTAAGAAATTATCTGATCTATGTGATTATTAAAAGTCAGTATCAACTTAGTAGCTCATAATAAAATCGAATACTTTCAAAATGGCAGTGACTATTTGTCTTCAAGTTTTAAGAAATCAAAATATTGAATACTATCATTGGCAAAATGCAGCCTCACTATACTCGTCCACATTAAAATTAAATGCTTTCCTAATAGAAGGGTTTTATTTCCTAGAGTGAAAAGATTAATCAGAAATAGCAATTGGTGTCACCATGCAATCAAAGTGCAGCTGCTTTCAGATGCCAGATAGTGCTTCTGTATAGACAAGGCAGATACGGATGCAGTGGAAAATACAAATTATTCTATTCTGACAAAGCAAAAGCAGTTTAAACTGCTACTTAGTAGTGTGTATATATGCATGCACCCTTGCACAGGGGAAATAGTAAAACGTGGAGAACGTAGGAGACACGCAGATGTTGAATGATGAGAGATAGGAGAAGATACTCTCTCCCTGACAAAGAGCTTTATGTGGAAAATTAGCTTCGGGAGGGCGAAAGGGGGGAAAAAATCCAGAGGCACCAATTGGAGCTTTGGTAGCTGACTAGACTGAGAGTGATTGTTTTTTTACAAGCAGAAACCTTGGAGTTCTCTCTTATCAAGCTTTATTATGATGAAAGCAGTGGTACAGTATTCAAGAACAAGTGAGCTATTTTTAATTTAGAATGATTGTATTTAATAGAAGTAGACTTCCTGATTCCATTTCTCATTTTCACCCCTGTTACTATGGGCCAGAGAGGAAGCAGAACTATTCTCTGACAAAGTAGAGAAATCGGCAGCAGTGAATTACTGACACAATTGTTTGAATTCTAAGAGCTCTCTAGTTCGGGCTTTTCTTGTATTCCAAATCTGAGAGACTGGGAGAGAGGGAGATGTTTGATATATATCTACTATATCTATCTCCCTCTCTCCCAGTCTCTCAGATTTGGAATACAAGAAAAGCCCGAACTATATATTGATCTCTTTCTCAAACAAAACAGTCAAATTCCCGAGAGGAGGGAGAGGAGTCCTGTAAACATGTTCATAGATGATGCCATCTAGACGTAGCCTTTTTATAATCTGGACTAATAACAGCATCAGTAAAATGGTTTTATAGGACATAAAGAACAATAATCTTGTCAGAAGAAGCATCCAATAAATAATAAATTAAAGCTAAATATATAATAAAAAAGTAAGTCTTGAAACCCTAACTTTGCCCCACTATGTATGCAGGAGAGTGTGGCTTTCTTGCTGAGAGGGATAGTGGGAGGAGAATAGATAGCAGAGAATCATCAATCTCAACCACTGCTCTGAAATTATCTCTTATTAAATTGTGCAAGTGCAGCAATACTGCCTGACCTTACTACTGAAATGTAAACCTGGTTTGTGGAGAGCACCACAGCTTATGCTGAAAATCCCAGCTCAAGAATAGAAGAATGCACATTAATGGGGTCATGGGGCACAATATGTAGACACAAAACCCTGTAAGTAATTGTACTCAGCCTTGCAGAGGATATGGTTGTTTTAATGCTTTAAGAATTAGAGTTATTGCATACTAACAAGTGATTTGATAATAGGTGTCACTACACTTTTTGGCCTGTTGATCCCTGGTGTTTTCTAAACTTGTAGCCCTTCAATGTGGTAACTTACTGCTTAAATGAATGGGAAGGAGAACTCATTTTAAAGCTCTAGCTTTAAAATTACTACATTATTGAAGTTAAAATCAGCTATGAATGTTGAAAATTGTCTTAAGTCTGAATATTTTCTCTTATTTTGCCCACAGGGAAGCAGCACGTGAATGCCGCAGGAAGAAAAAAGAATATGTCAAATGTCTAGAAAACAGAGTAGCTGTCCTTGAAAACCAAAACAAGACATTAATTGAAGAATTAAAAGCACTTAAGGACCTCTATTGCCACAAATCAGATTAATTTTAATTCCCCATTTTTTGTTTGTTAATGGGGGAAAAGACTGGTTTGGTGATAGTCAAACAGACAAAATGAACTTTTTATTTTCTAAGAATTTTTTTCTTTTTTTTTCTACATACACAACTATCTGAAAGCAACTAAGGAATTTGATTCATCTGTGCTTGGCATTAAACTGTGAATGTTGCACATCTGCCTTCACTTCTTCCCCTCCTGAAATCGATTTCATCACAGTACACCCTGATTCTGAAGAAAAAAAGCAAACTTCCTCTTCAAGAAATAATAATCTTCATTTGTGAAGTTACAAGAGTTGGAGGTTTCTTACAATAATTTCAAGAGTCAGCATAATCTCATCTGAATGCCTTAGTGAGAGTCACCCTGGACTTTTGCCCTGAAATACTCAATGGGCCACATATATAACCAAGGTATGATGCTCTGAAGTGGCTGTGGTTGCCACGTTATTGCATAATTTCAAATATACGTTAGCAATTGTACAGTTAACATCTATTTGGTGGGATAATGCCAAAGGAGATGCATTTCAGGTATACTCACCATAGAGGAATCGGAGGAAGCTGAAGAAATTAAGGAGGAGACAAGTTGGACAATTATGAACACAATCCAATTTTTGTACAACAACAAAAAAATCACTTACTTTCTATAATGTTTTAATAAGCTTTATGTAGTCAGACTTCCAAATTCAAATGATAACTATCACTTTATACTTGATTGGGATGTGAACTGGTAGGAAGCAGTAGTGTAGTATATGTTTAAGATGGAAACATCATAGTACATTCACTACTCTTTCCTTTTTCCATATACAAAAGCAAGATTATCCAAGGTAACAATTAGAAGCATAGTTAGCATAATACACACTTTGGGGAAAGAAAACTTACAGCTGTCCTAATTGTATCATGCAAGTAATAATTTTAAAACTTTGCCTGGAAACATTTTTGACTTTTCTGTTTTGCTTAAAACTTCCTTTGATATATATCTTTAAAAAGAAGTAAATTCATTCTGTGTTACATCATCTGCATGTATAATGTGGATATGATAAAAAAAAAATTTTTTGCTAAAATCCTACCTATTGTATATTCAGATGCTGTTTTCATTTGTCCAGTGGACACATTTAATGCAGTCTACAATTCATTTAAGCTGACTAATATGAATAGGCCACCATGTAATTTAAGGTTTAATTATATATATATAATGGCCATATGCAAAGATTTTAATCAGATTTTGCAGGAACAAATAAAAGAATCCAGCAGCCATGAACATAGCAAAACTTTTGAAACCATTAGAATTTATTTGGTGAAAAAAAACATATCCTGGAGTTGAATGGAGCTGAGGATCTATTAGGGCCAGAATGGGATTGCTTGGAGACAATTGTCTAAGCTTAGTCATTATTTCAGTGTATGTATATTTATTTTATTTTAATAGCTTGTGTGCATACACACACACGCGCGCACACACACACACACACAAGCTACTAAAATACACGGTAGCTGTTCTGAAAGATAAAATACCAGGGTATATTAGGGAGAATTTATCAGGTGCATTTAACAGTGTGACAATAGGGATTAAATAATTTTTAAAAACATTACCATGAAAATTAAATATTTTTTATATAGGAACAGATAAACTTTTTTTCCTTGTTTATATAGTAAGTCAAAATTCTAGATTTGAAAAAAGATATTTTTTTCACTCTCCTTTTAGTTTGCTAGACAAACTTGTTTATTCTCCTACTGGCATAGAAAATAGATACCTGAACATCTGTGTAACTTATTTATATATGGATTGTGATCTTTCATAAATTTGATGAAACAGAATGAAAGCATATAAATTAATAATTAAGTGCTGCTATTCTGAAATTTTCATTCTCTATATCTTTAAAAAACAAGGACTTTAGCAAAGATTTGGAAATATATGTTATAGAGAGCTGAAATCCACAATTCGTAGCTGCGTTGTGAAATTTGTCTTCTTTTCCCTGAAAATATAGTAGAATCATGAACTCGCTGATTTTGCAGAAGTCATTTTTGTAACACTGCTGTCATGGTATGTGGTATCTTTTTGTCTGGATAATTTTGAATAAGTATCTCATAAAGCTGGCTGGGATCACATAAATGGGTTAACTTGTATAAAAATTATGCAATAATGTAAGATTTGTTTTAAAGACTTAAGTACTGGAAAAGCAACCACCATAACTCTCTCCACTATTTTGGCATCATTTGTAATTATTAGGTATGATTGTATTTTAGCAGATAAGCCACCAGCTGAGCGGGCTATTGGGGGTGGGGCTAGATAAATAGCCTTTTAAGTGCTCTATGAAAGAGGCTAAATCTCGATCACTTGTAGTATCACAGGATCTATTGTACTGGTTCTATAGTAAATATAAAATTTACATTCTGAGATTTTTCACCAGCAATAACACAACATTTCAGCCCACTTTATTTATCCTGTACTGAGTTATTTAGGCATCTGGCATTCCATATATACTTTGAATTATGTTTTAATTATCCCAAGTATAGAGCAGGTTGGTGCCAATGTGTTTTGCAAGATACAGTCAAAATGAATGGGATAGTACTGAAAAACCAACCCTCAATTTGTATATTACTAATTTATTGAGTTAATACATTTATTGAATAGTTAGTCTCTATTATACACTTGGCCCCTTTGCTGCATAACAGAAATTTTGTTGAGTTTATTGACAGATTTAACTAAAACAACTGGCATGGAAAGGGCTAGCTCCATTATAGTCATCATACATAGAATTGATTTGAAGTACAGTTTCTATATTTTACAAAAGAAAAAAAACATTCAGGCAGTACAAATATTGTCTGAGGTGTTCTTCTAAAAGATATTCTTGGAAAGGTTTATGTATAAAGTATGTACATATATAAAATATATATACACAGTATATAATCTATAGCTCTGAGAGCTTTTAAGTCAGGAATGCTGAATATTATAGTATATTGAGGTCAGAAAAAAATAGTATGTATGTGTGCAGATACATGCTTATTGTTCTCTCTTCCACCCTCACCCCCCCCCCCAAATTTTGAGCTATATTATTCTGGCGCTTATTGATACGTTTTGTTGTTTTCTTATCCATTTTCAGTTACTTTATTTCACTGCAGTTTATATTTGTTATGAAGGCGAATTATGAAGTGATAGCAACTCCTTAAAATTCCTTTTGTTCCCAAGTTATTCATTTTGTGCTTTGTCTGTTGGGCAGCTATTCATTTAAGGCAAAAACAATTGGAAAACATTTGGGTTATATGGAGGGAACAAAAGAGAAAAGAGTGGTTGCTCAATATTTTATTTGCATAATTTTACCCTATACTTGACCTAATGGAAAGCATTGTAACTAGAATTTGAAAGCATACTTAAGCTCAGATAAGTTTGATAATTGCACAGTATGACTGTTGTGGAATCTACCATGTTCTGCAGAACTAAGCAATTATAAAATTACACAATGACAGCTATATAATTTTATAAAAGAGGAGAGCTTTCATCATAATTATAACTAGGAACTGAAATACGTGATCAGCAGATATGTGTTTTATTGTGGATATGTACCATTTAAGATACTTCAGGGATGAATATTTGTTCCTGCACATTTAAAAAAAAATAGCATGTTAAATGAGAAAGATGCTTTCTATTCCTGACATAGTTTTAATGTGTGGGAATATTCTTTTTACACAAAGATGCAAATGTTCATTTTTCCACTTAACAGCCTGCGGAGGAATGGCTCAGCAGCAGATACATCTGAGTGTATTGATGTGACTTTAATGTGCTCCTGCTTATGGTGGGCTTAATATCTCTGTGCTTGGATGTTATTACTCAATGGACTCTCACGATATTCCTAAGAGACAGCTATTTTTTAGAGGCATCTGCACAAGGCAATACCAAAGATTGACATCTCAAGTTAAGGGGAATTCCAATAAGAGAGGCTAATATTTAATTGTTAGAATATTTGAAAGAGAAAGTAATTCTAGGGAATGAGCAATAGATATATATTTTTAAAAGCACAATATTTCCCAGTGCCAATTAAGAGGGGATTGTATTAGTTACCACATGTAGTGTTTATAACATACTTTGAGATTTCTTATGTTGTTTAAATCCATGTTTGCGGATGTTATGCCTATTGGTACATGTACAACATACTGAGCACCCAAAGAGTTCTGAATAATTTGAAAAGCACAGCCACCTTTGGACTGTTAAATAAAGAAATGGTGCTGAATACTTTAGCAGTCTACAGCTTTGTAATAACAATTTTCATTTTGAATATAGCATGAACATGGGCAGTAATTAGAATTGAATTATAAATATTGCAAACTCACATATAATTTTTTAAAAATGCAACTGTAGTCCAAAACAAGTAATATAAGTGTATTTTGGTATTGCAGGTACAGGTTCCTACTAGCCATTTCAAGCCTTTTAAAAATTTGTCTCTACAGTTAGGAATTCTTGGGGTTAATTCAGGATTGTTATTATGAATACATTGTTACATCTGCAAAGAACCTCATACATCTTTTTGCATCCACTTGCCCATTTTCTCAGGGTTACTGTATATTTTAACATCGCTACTCTGTAGCATTGTTATATATATATATATATATATATAAATAATTTATTTTTGCAATGCTAAATTATAAAGAATATAACAGCTTATCTCAGTACCATGTTTCAGAATACATGGCTGAAAAAAATCAAGGATTTTTGGAATTGTAGTGCATTCTCGACAAGAACATTTTAGTTCTGTATATGCACAGAACATAATTGAGCTGTGTTTACAGGTAGTTTCTTTTAAACCCACAATGAACCCAGGGCACGTCAACACTCTTATGTATCTGTGGAGTCTCCTAATTTGAATGCCATCTATTAATTGACCTATTGATCATGTAGCAAATAAAATGTTGGTGCATGCCTAAGTGTTTCAAAACAAGTATTTGCTATACTTCAAGGGAGTATTGTTATCACATTGTTACCTGAGTCTCAGACTTAGCCAGATGCATTACTGACATTCTGAAAAACAGGCTTCAAGAATAAAACAAGTTGCTTGTAATGAAAAAGTTCATAACAAAAACTAAAGGATATTTTTGAAATGCTTTCTATAAGTTGTACATT